GCTGCACATGAAGTAACAACAGTATATGTAGCTAAATTTATCAAATTTATAATTCAGTTTTATAACGAAAATCGATTGAAAGTAAGTTTATAATGTGTAACAATACAGCCTACATAAAACTGATTAGGAACCTAAAAAAGTTGGATTATGAAATCCCAGTCGAATTTAGTGGAACGCTCATGTTGACTTGACTGACACATGGTCATATCTGTAGCAGAAGTGGAATTGTACATAATCTTCAATTGATGTAAAATAGTAAAATGCACGAAAACTGGTGCAGTTAAAAAAACGTTTAGATTAAAAAGAGGCAGCAAAAAAGCATTTAAAACAATTGTATACATCTACGCTGCGGATAGCGGGCTTTCAATCAGTTATTTTTAGCTGTACTAATGGGTAGGGGATTTTGATGTAATTAAGGAGGTTCATCGCAGCCAGTTTCCAAATCAGATATTCGTCCACATGCCAAACAGGCTGAAACTGCAATGTAGTGCTTTTCCGGGCATGTGGACGACTATCTGATTTGGAAACTCGCTGCGATGAACCTCACTTATTTTTAGCTGTGTTGACAAGATCACTTTGTGTTAGATTTCTTCGTTCATTGTAAGTATTTAGTGGAAATTTAGATGCAATTCAGTTTCATTTCTGATGTCGATTTTTTTGACCATAAATACTTGTATTCTCATCGCTTTGTTTCGGCGATCTTGCTATCGTCATTTTCTCCAGCAACTGGTCGCCATTTGTTTTCGGGTTATTCACAATGCTGAAGCAATCACCCAGTGGGACTTGTTCCAAGATAGTCGGATACCGCGCAAATGCCCTCACGTGTGTTTTATGCCAAGGTACATATCACATTGCATGTGTTGCATTATCAGTTGAGCATTTTCATCGGCTTAGTGCAATCCAACACGATTTCGTTCAAACTTTATGTGAAAGTTTCCGAAACAAGATACATCCAGGAAGAGTAAATCCGAAGTGTAGGCTTCATCATTCCGTCGCGAACAGCTGCGTGTGTTTGGCTCAACAACGTAGCCCGAAGAGCCTTCCGGTTTCAGCCCAGCCTTCCTCCTCTACCTGGCTAGCTTGCCGAACAACCTCCTCGTGGTGCCAGCTGGGTGACTCGGGATTTCCCCGTTCCAGCAAACGGTACGGCGGCAGTGTTCCAGGACGTGGCGGGTTTTCGCCTGGCAAGCGTTCTCCCTATACAAAGCCACATATGTCGGTTTAAAAACACTGTGACGTGGCGGACGTGACTCGCAACTAAATAAAGTCACCGCCCCTTGCTTCATCCTGGCGAAGCATTGTATTCCAGTAACTTTGTGCTGTAATTCTGGGGAGCATTGGGCCCCTGTTTGACAAAGGAACAAACGAAAGGCGTATGAACTGAGCAATCAGTCACCGGCTCCCAATGGGCGCGATTCCCTGAATTCGCTCCGCTGCTTTGCGGGCAGGCTATTCAACCAAAGGCTCGGAGTGGTGTCCCCTACGTCAACACCCTACTTCGGCTTGGGCAACCGGGTAGTATCTCGCCCTCTGACGAAACCGTGGACTTTGATGTGTTGTGTTGTGTTTTCTTTTACAATGTCTGTACCTTCTTTTGTGTTCCATGGTTCCTGATGAGTAAAATTGAGATTCCTCACCGCCGGTGAGGAGTCAATAGAAGGGATGCAAATTACCCGTCTTGGAAAGCAAAGTGATCAACAAAATCGGCCTATGAGAATCACTTTTGTGGAAGAAATCAGTCCAAGACTGATCATGTCCCGCCTAAGTAGGCTGACAGGTTTTAACATCCATGTTCGTCCCGACCTGGACCCAGTAGACAAGGAGCGGCTCAAGTCTGCCATCACTGAGCTGAAAAGACGCAGTGGTGAGGGGGAAACAAATCTCCGTATCCTAAATTTTCCGGTGGTTTCATAAAATCTACGAATCAGGATAAACAGGTTGCTCAGACTTCAAGCACGCCCGGCGGCTCCTGTTGCGACCTGCGAGTAGCCTTCACAAACGTTTGCAGTGTTAAGAACAAACGCGATGAACTTTGTGTTTTCGTTGCGTCTGCGCAGCGAGACGTAGTGTGACTCGCAGAGACATGGCTGCATTCAGAGTCATACATCCAAGAAGTTGAACTCAACAGTTACTCGTCCTTCCGATGCGATAGAGTAAAGGATGCCCGCGGTGGTGTCTTGCTCTACATCCGGTCTTCCTTGCGTGGGAGACTTGTGAGCACCTACCGAAGTGTCAGTGGTCTGTGTGAGCTACTGTGGTGTTCCATCCGCCTCGGACGCGGAGAACTACTTGTGGACAGCCTATCGCAGCCCCCTGAGTCGTTGTTTGGATTGGCAACCCATCTTCGAACGCACATGAGTCGTCCACACTTTCTACTTATGGGCGATTTTAACTGTTCTCGAGTACGATGGCCTGATGTGCATTTGATGGCTGGACCTAGTGAGGTTGAAGCATAGTTCGTGGATTTGGTACTTGAAACTGGTGCATCGCAACACATATGCCAGCCAATACGCATATCAACACGTTCAACCCCGTCCTGTCTCGACCTGATGTTAACGAGCTACGAACAACGAGTGCGTGACGTTAGGATCCTGGAGTTCCTGGCTACGAGCGACCACTCAGTACTGATAGCTGATATGGAATTATCTTTGCCGTATTCACATCCGCTGCAACCAGCTCACAACTACTGGAAAACGGACTTCGATGGCCTAGCTCGAGCCGCGAACCAACTGGATTGGTCCCTGTCACAAGCTGCCTCTGTGGAAGACCATTGGATATTTATAAAAGAGGGATGGACATCATTGTGTTACTAATTTGTGCGCTTAAAATGTCGGAAGGTTGGACCGATTAAGCCTCATTCGTTTGACGAGTATGGAGATCCGGCTCGGTGGCGGTGCACACTGTGCGAAAGATTCATCCTCTCTGGATCTGCCAATGCGTACGAAGGGTATAAAAATCAGCGGAAACTGTGCAACAGTGCAAAAAAGAATAAGCGCCGACAGTTCGAAGAGCAGCTCGCAATCGCCGCGAAGACCGCCCCAAAGAGATTCAGCTTACATGAAGCGACGCCTGAAGACGGCAAGCGATGTGCCAGTGCTGGATGGCCCGGATGGACAGCCCCTAACCTCTAGCATTGAGCGTGCGTCTGCGTTGACGGCGCGCTTCGCTTCTGTATTTGCAAATGACCAGGTGTCTGTTCCGAGTTCGACGTGTACTGCTTTTACCGAACTCGTTGAAGAGGTATGTAAACTACTCGCCAATTTTGACGGCACCAAACCTGCCGGACATGATGGGCTCCACCCACTGATTCTCAAGTCATTATCGGCCATCATCTCTCCTGCCGTGACTGACCTTTTCAACAAGTCGCTGTCCGAAGGTTCGTTGACGATTAACTGGAAATTCTCGGTGGTGAAGCCTATTCCGAAAGGCGGCGACCCTAGCAAAGTAGACAATTACAGGCTAATTTGTCTGACACCTATTTTGGCAAGGTTGCTGAGAAAATCGTAAAGAAGGGATTGCTGCAGTTGCTACAGTCAAAAGAGGTCGTGACGCCCACACAGCCCAGTTGCATGCAAAGCTGCTAATGCATTACAAACTTGCTTGTGACGAGGCATGAGTGGTTGTAGGTAATAAACAAAGCGAAGTCTGTCGAGGTCATATTCATCGATTTCAATAAGGCGTTCGACAAGGTCAGTCATGAGGTTCTCCTTCACAAAATCAGGATATGTGGTGTCGGTGGCTCACTGCACCGCGGGATCCGCGACTTTCTTGTTGGTCGAAAGTGGAGGGTACAGGTCGACGATCATCTAACTGACTGGCATCACTCTACAAGTGGCGTACCTCAAGGTAGTGTGTTTGGGACCACTCTGTTCCCGATCCACATCAACGATCTACCTCAGCTTCTCCGGTCGCCGTGTGCCTTGTTTGCGGAAGATAGGAAGATTTGGAGAGTAATTGACGCTCCCGACGACTGTGGCCTACTTCAGCAAGACCTCAACTGCCTATACACATGGTCTACAAAAGTTCATCTCCCGGTCAACTCAGCCAAGTCTGTATTTGAGCCTGAGGAAGGGTGGTGACAGCTGAAACTACACCCTTGACGGCCAAGCGCTATATCCCACACCCTCCGTGAAGCACCTAGGTGTACTCACGCTCCGTGACTTCAAGTCCGTGGACAACACGAACAGGCTATATCGTAACGGACTGCACTTACTTTGGCGCTCACAGGTAGCTTCGGCCCATGGTCCAAAGAGGCTGCCATTCCCCACTTCTTTTCCATCATTAAACAAATGCTAGAGTACGGTTCGCCCGCCTACTTTCCGATTACCCGAGGCGAAGCATAAAAGATTGAGCGGGTCCAACACATTGCTACCAGGCTCATGCCGAGTTTACGTGGCTTGGGGTATGAAGACCGGTGCGAGAAACTAGGACCCTATAACTTGTCCTACCATCGGATGCCAGTCGACCTCATTACGACCTACCGTATTCTACATCTCAGTGACTTCCCCATGCTGATGCCAATGCTGCACTTACGAGGGCCATACAGCACACGCGGACCCAGATACAAACTTGTCGTGCCGGATGTGAAATGTGTTCCTTACCCACTGTGCTTCGAACGGAGAGTGGTAAATATTTGGAACAGTTTGCCAGAACATGTGATGGAGGCAACATCTGTGCAGCAGTTCAACACGTTGTTAGATTTACATTTTACCAATATTCGATTCAAAGAACGATTGCATACTTACGATGACATGTCACATTTGTGAGTCCTGCAATACCGTGAGTCAGATCTTTTAAATGTCACGTTAGGACGATAACGATATTCGCGGTTGACATGTTTATGATGTTTTTTCACCATATTTCGAAGGAGTTGCACAGAATTCAATTCTACTTGCTCTATAATACAGTATTCAGTATTACAGCGTAAAACTGCACAGTGTTGCTTAGCCACAAATAAAACAAGAAATAGAGCACAAGGAAGTAAGTAAGATTGCACTCACTCAAGTGGACGACGGCTACATGATTCTGGAGGTGATGCTTATCGGAAAAAGCTCTCTCACAGTGCTCACATATGTGGGTACTTTGATCTAAAACACGAAATAGGACGACATCAAATACGCAGAAAAAAGCAAAGAAAAATCGGGTGTAGTTAAGAATGTTTCGACTAAGGTATGCCTATGCACATGTTGGCGATATATCCAATAGAATGAACATATAGCAGTTAAGCTGAAGGCCGACAGGGAAAGTCAACTGCAATGTGAACGCATCATCATCATCAACAGCAGTGCATCCGCCATCCGAACTGATGATTCACTGTCGTACAACCACAATGAACTAAAGAACATGGAGGGAGAAAAGGAGAGCTACCGGAAAACCTGAATGCCTTAAACAAAAATGGACCTATGAATTTCACAGTCTCCGACACAGTGCTGGAATCTGAGAAACTTCCATGTATGCACACTAAGCCCAAAGGGCTCCTCATTAAATTTACCGAATTTCGGGTACGTCAGGTCGCGAATGATTGGGACCCCATGTCCACTACGGAAACCTAGTTACACCAAGAAGTTGCTGATGCTGAGGTCGAGGATAGTAGGTAAGTAACTCATCCGGAACGCCCGTCAAGCAGAGGAGATGAAGTCCATCTCTACCACCACAGTGACCTGCAATATGCAATAGTTGATGATCCGGAAACTCATGTTACCGACTAAACCTGGTGTCGCCACCGATTAAGACACAAGGACGCACGTCTTGTAGCTGCCGTTTGCCACTCCCAAGGTCCTCTATGGAAATGGACTCTAGCTTGGTACGTGTCTTGAACAGAGTACAGCCACATGCTCGTCGCAACGACTTCAATGAACGCGATCCGAAGGTATCGGCGTCTCCCAATAAAAAGGTCAAGGCAGACTTGCGTGAACTTATCGCTAATGTTCCCTTCAAAATTTATGTCACCTCGCCTCTGTATTGGACCCTGTATTCACAATTGAAGAGTTCATGTCCGATAAGATGCGGTGCATCAGATTTCAGCGACCATGTGGTAATAAGGTTTAACTATGCAATTCAGAGTATTCATCCGAACACTCGGATTTAACACATACAATCACACGCTACCACGTCCTGAAAAAATTCGTTGAGGCATCCGCTTGGGATTTCTAGCACAACAGACCCCCTGAAAAGTTTTGGATAGAGTTCACCGAAAGATTAAGAGACATGGTCAACAGAGCATCAAGCCCCTTCGTTCCGCGAAAGGGAGTCAATTCGCAGAAGCAGAAACGAAAAATACATCGCAAAAAGGGATGCAGCATGGCATGCCTACAAGACTAACACCGACTAAGACAAAGGACAACTTCCTGGTCCATCGCAACCATTGAACCACACTTATCCGTGAGAACAAAGTAACTTATCCGCAGTGCCTAGCCAAGAAGTTTCTGGTAAACAACAGACGACTGTAAAAGGATGTCAGCATTGCTCGCAAAGCAAAGCAAGGCATCTCTCCACTTTTCATAGCAGACGATAGGCACCTAAAACGGCACCTAAGAAGCGGTCCTATAAAGTGGTAAACCCGACGTGACGTCGGTGTTTTGGACTCAGCCTATATCACCCGGCGAGTCGTATGCACTTCCGTCGTTTTATTACCATTTCATGTATGTAAATATGACTGACCAGCAACCAGGGGAAAGTAACACTGTATCAACTAGTCATTTACCAACATTTTGGATACAATAGCCTCAGCTTTGGTTTCTTCAGGTCGAGTCATTTTTCGAAATTAATCGCATACATAAGGATGCCCTAAAGATTCATAGTGTATTTTCCCGACTCTCACCAGAATCAGTGCTCCTGGAGGAGGATATTCTGAAAAAAGCCCTACGTACCAACAGCTTGTCCCACAGCAAGCCCTTCCAATGTATTAGGATCCGTTATGTGGATTTACCAGCATAACGAAGTCTGGATACTAACATGGTGATATCAAGAACGAGATGGTGCATAGGATAACGACAGCAGGTAGTCCAGCTTTCCATCGACGATGGCGAATAACGCCTGATAAACATTCCGTAGCGAAGGCCCAATTCGACCGTATGTTACAAATCGGTATAATACGTCCATCAGACAGTATGTGGTCATCGCCTATACATATAGTCCCGATAAACAAATCTGGAGATTGAAGACCTTGTGGGGTTTATCAGGAACTGAACGCCAGCTGCTGGAATTGAGCGACAACATTAAACTAAGAGGTCATTAATTGAAACTAACAATACAATATAGCCGGCTGGAATGCCGTAGAAATCTCTTCTCTCTCTGAATGTGTCAGCTGTGGAACGACCTAGTAACTTATGTCGTCTCTGACCTCAATCTAAAGACATTTAAAAAACGACTAGACGAAGGAGTGCCCCACGCACATTTTGTTCGGGAACTTGTGTTAGCCAGGGGGCGACATAAAGCAATCATAAGGCGCGTTTCCAAAATCCCAAGCAATGGATTCATGGATCTACATATTTTTCACGTTAACATCTCGGCACTTTTACGCATGTTCATGGTGAATGCAACAAAACACTTATCATTTTATCACAAATGTTTGCTTTCTCAATAATTTCCATCCCATGAGACTTGCTGAGTATTGCATTTTCACCCGCGATAAAAGGTTGTTCCGTAAGTATTCTATAGTTTATAGCAGCGGTACATTTGTTAATAGTGAAAACTGTTGTCTTGGAGTTCTGCGACTGCTTCCACCCACTAACGGTAGTGAGAACACGAAGGACCGGGAACAAGGATTCAAGGTCATTTTGCATAGGAAAACCATTTCGCTATATAGCATGACGCGCAAACGTGAAGACCGTCCGATCAAAACAACAGTCTGCATTTGCATTGTCACTTTAAAAAACTATCACGAACACTACGTTAAGTACTTCGTTATTGTATTGGATTTGCGCAGACCCAATCGCGTTATCTTAGCCGAAAGTTACGCGTGACCTAAGCTTGGTCCCTATCCACGTACGTTTTAGGGTAACGCGCTGAGTCCTGAAAACCAGAGGACGATGCGCACACGACCGGGCGACTAGACGCGAGAGTCTTAGATGCACAAGCAGTACATGGCAAAAACGGCGCACACGATCAGGTGACCACGCGAATCCCAACCAGCTCACAAAAAGAGTAGACAAAACGAAGCGGACCCACAAATAACGAATAACAGCTGGTACAATGGTTCATTTTGTGGGAGAAATGAATCACCGCGTAGGACGCGTAGTTTACGAAAGAACATTGTTTATTTTAGCCCAGTTGCTGGCTGGCTGGATCCTGCTGCGCTGTGGGTAGGAATTGAACTATGCGTGGTTACTCGACGTTCCCGCAACATTTATGGGTTCCAACATTGCTGCAAATCACTGGGCTGTAGGATAGTGTGCGGAGTTTCGCATGGACAATATTGACATCCAGATACGACTTTTTACGAACTTTTTGGAATCCATATATTCCAGGGGTACGACTGACTTACAACTATTAAATAGACAACCTCAGCAACTGTGTCGCAATAGATAGGAAAATAAAATAAAAGGTACAACAGGTGCACGTCAGCTGAGTTAGCATGAACGGATGGGCATCGTACCAGAAAGCAATCAGCCGACTACTATGGAGAAAAAGAAAATTCATCACGCAAAAATTATATTATAGAAAGAAATGAGATTGTGGTTGGAAGGAGAGGCAAAATGGAATGGGGGTGGACAAAGAAACTCACAACACGAATGCCCTTGAGGTCGGCTCCTAGCCAAGTCAGCAAGTGTATCCAACCAAACTTGCTCATCGTCCTTCGGACCCCAGCCAATAAGCCAAAAGGCTCCGACCAAAGTCAGGTTCGAAGTGAGGGCCTACATTACTTAGGACAAAGCCATCGCTTGGCCACCCCTCCTCTTCTTCCATCTACACTCTCGGCGAGCAAAAAACGCACGTCGCGGGAACGGGTGGGCTGACATGCGCAATATGTGGCCCAGCCATCGGAGCTTGGTGTGTGAAATAACAATGCTGAGTGGTGGATTTCCCCTTCCTGTGCCAGAAACAAGGCGCCATTTCTCAAGCGTTGTTCCGACCAGATAAGAGCCAAACTGGGAAGGCACAGGTGGTCGAAATTAAGTTACCATTGAAAGAGACGAGAATATCCGTAGCTCTTGATGTGGATGTGGATTTTGAGATGCTCTCCGAGCTGAGTGATTATTATGCAGACGTTTCGTTGACGGACTAGGCCACATCATCAGTGCGGCTATAGGGGTCTGGTTCGCAGTGCAAAGCTCGGAGAACAACTCAAAATCAGTAACTAGCTTCTTAATGTCTACTGATCTAAGAAGCCAGGTTTCCCAACCATAAAGGTGAGTTGAAAGGACGGCTGCGTTGCACACTTTATCCTTCAGGGAGAGATAGATGTCGCGCCATCGCCATAGGTGGCAAATATTTGCAAAAGCATCACAAGCTTATGCTATACGGTTTGTGAGCTCGTCTTCGATTTCAACGGTGCTGATAAAATTAACTACGTAGTTGAATTTTTGAAAGAAACCTAGCTGATCCCCACCAAGGGTCAGCGAAGAGGCGATCTAGGCCAATCTTGGAGGACTTTGGACTTACATGGTGCAAAACACAATCTGAGATGGCAGACAGTCAGTACTAATCAATCCAGAGCCGATTGGCACGTTTGTGAGCTGTCAAAGATGAACGCAATATCATCAGGATATTCCAAGATAAAACGTTGCTCGTCTGGAAGCAGCTCCAAAGCTTCAAAGTCGTGTCTCGTGAACGCGATCTCCATGACTTGTCTATAGAGAAATTGAAGAAGAAAAGTGACAGCGGGGATCCTTGACTCACACCGTTGGAGATATTGAAGAGTGGAGACAGCTTGCTGTAAGCCCGCACCTCTGCTCGGACAATATTTACACATTTCTCGGACACACCTGTCCTGAGTAGATAGTCTCAAAGGGCACATCAATCCACTGAAGAAAATACACCTTTGATAACGAGGGACATGCCAACGGTGGGTCGCCAATATGTGTGACGGTGCTCCAACGGCTGGCGCAAAGTGAAGACGTGGTCAATGCAGCCACAACTTCGATGA